ACTACTGTCATATTCCATTAAAGTGTGAAAGACAGACAGACACTAAGAAAAGTTATTATGGAAATAAAATGCATAACAAGAAAATATTGAGCAAAATAGTAGGGGAATAGCTTGTAATAAATGCTTGAAAATCCATGTAATCTCCTGCAATTACAATGCATGCACTATATTAATGCAGTGTTCATGTGTCTTCGTAAAAAATATTCTGGCATTCCATGAGAAATACTCAAAATGAAAAAAAGCAGAAAGTGCAAAGCAGCTACATTTGTGTCTGGGTCATTAATATTTTAAAGCAGCCAAAATATAACAACAGGTTAAGAGCTTATATGTAAATGATGAAGCAGGGTATACCTATCATGCATTCATGACAGCAAAGTCTATATGTCCATGAAAATAATACATACCTTACAATGGGTACTGACACTGTGAATTCCAAAGTAAATAATGATGCAACAGTACTCTTAGTTCCTAAAGATGAATTTGCCATAACCAAAACTAAGCATCGTGATTGTATTTTTCATTCTTTAATTTAATTAAGGGGTAAATCCATGTACATACTCCAAATAAATGGAACATGACAAGCCAGCCTTTATACAATGCAGCTGACAATAAGGCCACATACGGACATTCAAAAAGCTGGGAGAGGAATGGAACTAAGTTATATAGTTTTCTGAATGTGGCTTAGTTTAAATCAGGAGTGAACAGTATACATATTCTCCTTTTGTGCTGGCCAAGGCCTGTAGGCAAGGGTTGCTTCTGCATGCTTCCCAGAGTGTCCTGTAGGCTCCTCTGGTTGCCAAAGCCTGCTGATCACAGCCAAGCACCTGGCCCACCCCTGATCGGCTGCTAGGTACAAGCAACCACACTTTAACCCCTGCCACATCACCACAGACCTCCCCCCCACCCCTCCCTGAGGCTTCAAGAAGAGCCCCAGGGCAAGTACCCTCTCATAAATGGCACATGCTTCTGTGTCGCATTCTGCCTGTTTCCTGCCACGGTGGACGGCTTGGGGGAGAGGCCTATTGGGCACTCAGCTGGAGCAGCCAAGTGTGGGCTGACTGCAAGTATGCCTCCCTGTGAGTGAGGGATGAGGAGCCACAAAGCAGGTTGGGATGCCAGAGGACAGCGGTTGAAGTTGATAACTAGGGGAACAGTACAGATGTTAAATACAGTGGGTCAAGTTAAATTGATCTGAACTGAGGTCTATCTTAAACCACTTGTACCATTTTAGACCAGTCTTTGTGCAATGAACTTCTGCACAGTTATGGGTTTAGACTGACTCACTTAAAATGGTCTAAGTGTAATGTCTGTACATGCCCTCTGATATTCAAAATATAGATTGTTGCCTACAGCTCAAAGGATTATTTTAATACAGTGGAAAAGGTTACAGAAATCACTGAGAGAAAAAAGGATGGATGATGCAGCAATTAGGTTTTTGTTAAACACTACAGTCAGTTGGCAGAAATTTAAAGTTGCTATTGTCAGAGTAGATTCAGATGTAGAGATAGGAGGTGATAACATATTTATTTAATCGGTATTGCAATTTAAGTGCAAAAATCAGAATTTTCATAAAAAATAGTAACCAAAAGATGTGAAACTAGTGATATGACACTTTATAGTAGTACACAGATTACAGTGATGTGGCAGATACAGTGCAGATAAAAACTAGCACTAATTTGCTATTCCAGTGGAGGGATAGCAGATAGAGGAATTTATTATGATGAATTCATATGACTATCAATATGACCATGGTATTTTTAGAACACAGACATAGATTTGATAGATGTTAGGGCTGGAAGGGACCTCAGAAGATCATTGAGTCCAGCCCCCTGTCCCAGGGGCAGGAAGTCAGCAGGGGTCATAGGATCCCAGCAAGATAAACATCCAGATGTCTTTTGAAGGCGTTCAAAGTAGGTCCTTGAACATAAAAACATTTTAATGAAATTTCCATTATTGTGAAAACATTCACAGAGTTACCTGACATGCCACCAAATGCACTCTCAATGGTAAATAGTTATATATTACAGCCTGTAGAACAAAGACTTCACATGTTCTATTACACAACCAAAGAGGATAGCTAATAATGTTACTTTCTGCTATATGGTTTGCAAAATTCTGACTTATGATGAAACATGATCTGGCTAGTCAATCCAAAATAATTGATTCAAAGTCAGAACCAAGCACCACCTTTTCATTGGAAACACAACCCAGCCTGTGACTGTCAAGCCAGTCCAAGGAAAGTAGAGCCATAGGAATAGACATTCAAAAAGCTGGAGCCTGAATTGATTCAACCTTTGCAGGTCAGTCTAACTTGCCTAGGATGAACCAGTTTGTAAACAGGACAAACATTCTCTCTGGACTGAGGAAATAAAGGCATATGCTTGCAGTTGCTCAGTCCAGGAGCCGGAGGGTGCTAGACTGTACCCTCGGCTGCAGGGAAGCTGCGCTGGGAGGGTGTGTGCCCAGTTTGGGCTGAACTGGCCAGGGAGTGGTTAATTCCTCCCTCTCTATTCTACTGGTTGGGACCTGAGCCAGGTCTGCCTGGTGTTATCCTCTGGCTGCTGCAGCATTGGGACACCATGGCTCCTGAGGCAAAGGTGGGCAGGGAGGAGAGTTAGGCCTCCCTCTACTCCCACTGGCAGCCAGGTCTGCCCACCATTGCTGCCATGCTCCCTGCCCCAGAATAGGCTCCCTACTGTCCCCTCTGCTGGGGAATGGTGGGAGGAGGAATAATTCCTGTCCTTGCCCCCCCACCCCAAGGGGCTCTGCTGTCTGGCATCTGGCTGTACTCTCTCCCCACTGCTGCAGTGGGAGGGGGCAGAGCCCTGTTGGGGGCAGCAGCCTGTCATAATGTGGGGGAGTATGAGCCCCTTCCTGGTGGGGGTGCTGCACTGTAGGCCTGGCAGAGCTGCAGTGGGCTGCACACGGCAGCACCAGGGTCCACAATGGGTCAAAGCTCTGCAACCTGCCTGTAGCACTACTGCAGAATGCAGCAGCTCTATTTGCCCCACAGAGTGGCTGCTGGTGGGAAGGGACTGCTGCTCCAGGAAGCCATGACAGGCTGCTGCCCATCACTCACCACTCCAGCTGCTTGATAGGGGTGGGCCCTGGCCCTGGCCACTCAGTCTGAGCTCAGGGCAAGCTCCCTCCACACAAGAGGGAGTTTATTGAGCTGCTGTCTCTGAGCACAGAAGGGTGGTGGCCAGGCTGGGAAGACCCCACTGTGGTGCCAGTGGCTGAATAAGCCCCCCCACCTTCCTGGAAGGGGGCTTTCCCCAAGCACAGAAAGGCCCCTGGCACTGCAGTAGGGCCTGCCCTACCTGGCTGCAGCCACTGCTCAGCTGTGCTTGAGGCCAGTGGCTAAATAAGCCCCCTCCTTCTAGGAGGGGTCTGACGCCAAGCACAGAGCAGCAGCAGCTGAGCCAGGCAGGTCTCGCTGTGGTGCCAGAAGCCTCTCTGTGCTTCACTATTCAGTTGCTGGCATCACAGTGTCATATGCCTGGCCCAGCTGCAGCCACCACTCGACCTGTGCTTTGGGACAGCAGCTGAATAGTCCCCTTCTTTTTGGGAGGGGACTTGCCGTGAGCACAGACCAAGTGGCTGGGGCTGGGTCCCAACCCCACCTCCGCCCAGCAGCTGTAGTGGTGAGCGATCATGATGTGCAGCAGCCCATCACAGCTTCCCAGAGCACAAGTCCCTTCCCAGCAGGGGCTGCCCTGTGGGGCTGGCAAAGAACAGCGCTATGGGGGCTTGCAGGGCTCTGGCTTACTCTGGACCCCAGTGCTGCCATGTTCAGCCCACCACATTTATGCTGGCCCCTCAGCACAGCGCCCTCACTGGGAAGTGGCTCGTGCTCCCCCACATTATGACAGGGGCTGCTCCCCCAACAAGGGCCCTTCTGCCTCCTGCTGCAGCAGCAGGGATGGGGTATGACTAGGCAGGGCCCCTGGGAGAGGAGCAGACAGCACAGTAGTGATGGCAAGCAGACCTGGCTGCCACTGGGGGTAGAGGGGAGACTAAGTCTCCTCCCTGCCCCACTCTGCCTTAGGGGCCATGTGCTCCACTGATGCAGCAGTGAGGGGGGAGCGCCCAGCAGCCACAGTCCAGTGCAATATAGAGAGGGGAGAATTAAACCCCTCCTTGTCCAGACCCCTACCCCTCATCTGGCTGGGGAGCAGAGGGGTAGGGTCAGCCTGGCTGAGGTGGAGCAGACAGTCCAGCCCAGAGAGCATCCTGGGATGCTGGGGGTCCCTGGTTTAACTTAAACCAGCAAGGGATCTGGGACAGACATCACATAAACCAGTTTGAGCCAAATCAGTTAAGTCTGATACTACATTCAACCAGGTTCATATCAAACCAGTTCCAGCCATTTTGAAACTGGTTTAAGTGCACTGAACGTCTGTTCTCTTACAGGTTTAAGCCAGTTTTGGATCACTTAAACCAGTTTATGTGTTGCCTGTGCCTAGCCATGGTGATCAAACTAATGATCATGCCAGCTGCTTTGACATCATTCAACCCAATCATTGAAAGGACTGAAAGGAGATTAGATCACTGTAATAGGGTCACCTTCCCAGCCAGGTCTCTACCTCCAGTCTTGCCCTCTATGGGCAATTCACCCACTCCACTCTTCTGCCACCCCTTGATGAAGATAAAGTTCAGCTGTTATTTGAGTGGGAGACTACCTTTTATATGCCTTATGACTAGGGCCATAAGTGCATGCTCCAACCATCCCTGCACATGCCCCATGCCTCACAGATGTTCCACTCTGTGTTACCTCTGGTCTAGGTCCAGAGATAACTGGGCATACAGTTGTAGCTCTACCATACTACCCCGGAGGGCCACTCTTAGACCACCCCTCTATCACTGGGGTTCCATTCACTCCACCAGCTTTCACTTGGCATCTTTCATGCTGCCCTCTCTCCTGGGCCACATTCATACTGCCCAGCCTCACCTAACTTCAGGCTTGTCTCTCCATGTCTCAGTCAGCCCCAGCACAGTCTGTTGGGCATCTTCCACTGCCCTCACTTGACCATTTGCTGAGCGACTCTACAACTGTTAGCCCACTTCACTCCTGGCCCCTCACCAGGCCTCCATGCCCCCACTGGGCCTCTTCCCTCTTTACTATGCCCCTCTCTCAGGGCTTCTACTTACTTGCCCACTCACAGGGCCTCTCTCTCCATCACTCCTCTATCTCAGGGTTTCTACTCATGCCCCCAGGCTTTACCCTGCTGCCAGGTTTGTGGGGTTGGGTTTATAAGGTGCCCCTTCCTGCCTTTCACCAGGGAGGTAACTGGCCTTGCATTCCCTGGGGGCTCCCATAGCACTAGAAGCCCCACCAGGCCACCCTTCCCTGGCAGGGTGCAGTTTCACAACTTACCCAGGACAACAGGAGCCTCCACCTCCCCAGAGCCCCTCCAAGTTACCTCCAAGTTCCTGAGCAGGAGCTCAGTCAGCTGATGTTATTGCCTCCCTTGCTAGCAGCTAACTGCGCTCTATACATGTCTGACCTTCGTTTGAAAATGGCTGCCTCAATCAGTCCTTAAAGCGGCAGGCACCAAAGGTGCACTGATCACAGTCATCTTATGTAAAGTGGATTCTCACCCACTCTGACTGATAAGAACCAGAGAAATATTGACCCACCAGCATCACTGGCATATTGCCAGCATATTGACCCACCAGCATTATTTGGCATTTTACAAGTTCCTAGTCTTTAGTAACTCATGCAAGCAAATTACTCTCACTGAAATCTACTGGTGCATACTTCCCACTGAAATTATTCTCTTGATAAGTGGGGTACAAAAAAATTAGGGTTTGAAATTCAGCTATTATATATAATAGAAAATGAAGAAATAATAGATTTCCCTTGCAAATACACTCTTGATTATTGTGCTGATTACCAGACATAACACACAGTAATAAAAGTGGTTCAGTGGTGAATCCAATTTCCATGCTGACAGAAACTGCTTTGAAAAATCATATGCAAATCACTAATTTTGGACACCATGTACAGCTGGATGTAGAGTTGTCATAAGCAATACTATGAATAGCATAGAGTCAGATATAGATAATTCAGCCAGCAGTTCTACATCTTTTAAATTTAGAATCTTACACTTTTGCTGTGTTCATAACATTTATATTTATCATAAAGTATAATTTCTGTGTCCAATAGCATTAAATTTATTTCTTCATACAATCTTTCTAAGATATTTATATTCTAAATGCTTCTTACAAAGGACAATCATTATACTTCAATCATTTTGAAGTCAAGGAAGTAACTGTCATGCATATCTCATTTGAAATATTCTATCTTGTACCAACATTGTTGAAAATCATCTTTATTCAAACCATCCCATACCTGCCACAAGTGAAACAAAGGAAAAAGGGTGGTCAGTGTCCTGCTACTTCAAGGGTTGTAAAAAATATGTTTAAGAAATCCAAAAAAATGCCCTCTTATAGAGGAAGGAAAAAAACACCCACAGTCTGTACCAATTTGACCATGATAAAATGCCTTCCTAACCATAAGGCTAGGGACAGAAATTACATCTAAACCAGTGTAAGTGATCAGAAACCAGTATAAACCTGTAACAGAGTAGAAACTCAGTGCACATAGACTGTTGTCAAAATGGCGGATCCCAGTCTGCATGGGTGGATGTACTTGTGTGCTATACTTACTGGTTGTGTGACATCATATTTAATCAGTTTAGGTTAGACTGGTCTATTGGGCTTCTGTTCCAGACCTCCTCTTGACTCAGGGTAGGTCACAGTCCCCAACATCCCAGGGTGCTGTGTAGTCCCTGCTACCCCCCTTCCCCTTGCACTGGGGGTGGATGAACCTTTGCCAGTGCTCCTTTGCTGTGGCCAAACTGGGCCAGACCCACCCCCAGGCTGTCACAGAGTGAAGGTAGCAAAGCCTCTGCTCCTCAGCCCAGCCAGTGGAGGGCAGGGGGATGCTGGTGAGTGGGGAATCAAGCCCCCTGGCCTCAGCCCCGGGCTGTATTCCTGTCCATGGGTCTGTACAACAGAGGGGACTCCCAGAGCCTTGGACTTTTCCCATCACAGCCTAGCTTTCCCCTTGCATTCTGGTTCCAATATCACCTCAGTCTATTCCACCACCAGACCTGGCCTCTCCAACATGGAGGGATGGGGTCAGGGGACAGGACAGAGACCTCCACACTCTGGCCCCAGCTCCTATCAGCTGGGAAGTAGGGTCTTTTCTCCCCACAGCCTGGCTTTACCCTCCACAGCCTGGCTGGATGATAACCCCACCCCTGACCCCCATGACAAATCTTGCCTCTCAGCTGCAGGGGACAAAGATGGGGGGATGCTTTGTTTCCCCACCACCACACCCCACAGCTCAAAGGCTGGGTCTGGTGGGTGGGTGGTTCTGAGGAAATGGCAGAACTGAGTTCTTGGAGGGAAAATCAGGCTGTGGTGGAAAAAACCCGAAATGGAGGGCTCCCCAGCGCAGATGGGGAATGGGGGCTCTGTCTGCCCCCATCTTCCACTATGTGGCTAAGAGGCCAAGTCTGGAATGGGGGTTCACAATCCTTCTGAGTTTCATGTTGTCTGTGAACTTTCTCAAGAGGCTTTCTTTTCCAGCATCCAAACTGTTAATACATAGGTTGAATGGCACTGCACTCAGCACAGATCCTTCTGACACTCCATTCAAAATCTTCTGCTATTTGGACATAAATTCATTTATAATTACCCTTTGCTTGTGGCTATCAAGCCAGTTGTCTATCCACTTCATAGACAAGCCCACAATTCTCCAATTTGTTTATGAGAATGACATATAGGACTTTTAAAAAAACTGCTGAAATGCAGATACACTATTTTTACTGTATTCCCCTTGTCTGCCCAACTAGTTCTCTCATTAAAGAAGGAAATTAAGTTTGTTTAGCAGAATTTGTTCTTAGTAAATTCATGATGGCTGCTTGTAATCATCCTTTCCTCTTCCAAATGTTTAAAAATGGACATCCTTATGATATGCTCCAGTAACTTCCAAGGTATCAAGAGGTGCATCTACACATGCATATTAATGCAAAGCAATAAACTCCAGCACTTTTCAGTGCACTTACACATGAGCCTGGGACTGCAGCATGTTGAGACAGGTCACAGCAGCCCGAGCTGGGAGGGGACAAGTGTAGGGAGGGGTCAGCCTGGCAAACCAGGCCTGTTCCAACTTGGCTCAACATGCTGGGGAGCAGCTGGATGGGACATGAGGGTGCTCCAGTATGGGACAGGATGGCAGGGACTCCTTGCACTGAGGCACCCTCTTATACCTATTTACAAGTACTACCCTGCTGCAGAATTTATTAGTTTCCTGCAGCATAATAGGACTTCATGTGTAAACTCTGACGTTTACTGCAGAGATAATTAGGCAACTCCACAGTAAACATTTTGTGTAGATGCCCTCAAGGTAAGGCTAAATGGTCTATAATTTCCCAGTTCTCCGTTTCTGTTTTCTTAAAGTAGGGCACCATTATAGACCTATTCCAGTCCTCTGGTACCTCACCAGTTTCCCATGACTTGTAAATATTACTGCCAATGGTTGTAAGATCTACTCTGCCAGTTCCTTTAGTACTCTGAGAAGTAGCTTATCAGGTTTGGGGGACTTGAATTCATTCAGAGCCATCAAAATCTCTGATTTCTTTTTTATTTCATCCCTCAGCTTCTTCCATTCTTTATCCAAATAATCCTTATTAGTTTTCTGGTTTCAGTAATTTTTTTCTGTGATGACTGAGACAAAGTTGCTGTTGAGAGGCTCTGTCTCCTTTGAAATTTTTGTTAGGATGGCTTTTCACTAGTGGACCTGCAGCATCCTTGCGCTTTCTTTTTTGGCCAAAATATTTACAGAACCTGCTCTTAACTTTAAAAGTTTCCCTTTCCAGGTAAAACTCATTCTTTAACTTCCCCTTCCCAATTCTATCCCTGAAAATTCTTGTTATTTACTGGTATGTGTCCTTGGTAACCTATTCATCTTTCCATGGCCTCTATGCCTTCCTTTTGTATTTGAGGCATCCTAGAAGTTCCTTGTGCAGCCACATTGGTTTCTTGCCATTCTTCCTGTGCATGTTGTTGGCTTCAAATACTATGTCTTCCTGGGTACCTTTCCCCTTAAGTTTGCCCTCCCATAGCACCATGGCTACTATTTCCTTGAGTCAATTGAAATTCACCTTTTGAATCCATGTTGGTGGGTTTTTGGTTATAGCCCTGTTGGTCTAAGGACATAGGCAGGAAAGGTTCTTTCAGTAGATGTGATATCTTTTATTAGACTGAGTTGGTCTAATAAAAGATATCACATATACTCAAAGAACCTTGACTGCCTTTTGAATCCAGTGTCTTAGTTCTGATGACCTCATGCTTTCTACATCACAGGATCATGAATTCAGTCATATCACGATTGCTTTCTCCCAAGTTTTCCATCATCTTCACATCCTCCATCAGTTCTTCCCTATTCATCAAGACAAGACAAAAGACAGATGATCCTCTCTTTGTATCCTCAGCCTTCTGGAACAGATAGTGGTCCTCCACACAAGTTAGGAACTGGCTCAACATTTTATGTTTGGTTGTATTATTCTTTCAGAAGATGTCTGGGAAACTGAAGTTTCCCATCAATAGCATCTAATAACTTTTGAATAAATTTGTAATCTCCTTGGAGAGTGACTTATCCACATCTTCTTCCTGACTTGGTGATCTACAATAAACTCCCGCCGTAATATCAGGGCTTTAACTTTTACCCTTTAAATTCACCAAAATACATTCTGATCTTCTACCTTCTTCTTCCTGAACCAGGGAACATGGGTATGTATTTTTGACATGTAAGGTGACACCATCACATTTTCTCCCAACCCTGTCCTTCCAAAATAGAATGTACCCCACAGTGTTGATGTTCTAGTTGTAAGAGCTGTCCCACTAAATCTCTGTGATACTGATCAGATCCTCCCAGAAATGAACAGATGAAAAAAATCAAGGAAATGATGGGTCTATTTTTTACAAACCTGAATAAGCTATTCAAAGAAACAAATCAGGCAGAGCTATTAAGTGGTTACTTTGATTCAGCCTACACAAAAATGAGGTGGAACAGACAGCTAATATATATCTAGACAAAGAAGGGGAAAGGCTAAGGGTTCATGATAACCAAAAATGTCATCATACTTTGTTAATTTTCATTAATCTAAGTCAAAAGGCCTTGAAAAAATTTATCCCAAGGTGCTGAAAGAACAGGGACTTTGGTGCTACTAGCAATAATATTTACAAAGTCATGGTGTCAGGGAAATATCTTAAAGCTGGTGCTGCCATTACAGGGAGTTGAAACTGTCTAGCGCAGGCAGGCCTCCAGCAAGTGTCCTCTGAACGATCTGCTAGCTGTCAATCACAGGTGACCTACTTTCTGGCCCTGCGCAGGCTCAGTGGCCTCACAGCTCTTACTCTCGCGCAGGCTCAGTCAGAGTTTCTGTGAGGTAATCGGTCTGGAACCTTCCTCCTAGGGGTTAACTGATTGGCTAAGGGGGAACTATAAAGGGTCCTGAGCCCTTACCCATGGGGGGAAGACCTGTTCAACTGAGGACAGAGGCTGGTTCTCAGGGACTGTCCCTCAGTTAGGCTCTGCGGCCTATCGGTCTCCTCCTATCATGATTTTCCGATTCGTTTTGCGCTTATCTTATTGATTTTCTGGCTTTCAATTGAACTGGCACTGGCTATGACTACGACTTTGATACTGATTAACGGACTCTCAAACTGAACTTACCTTGATTCTATGGCTTCTGACCTCGGCCTTCATCCTCGACCATCCATCCATCCCATTGTACCTGGCATTCAACTTTGGCACCACTCTTCATCGACCTCGACCTCGATCGTCCCTTTTTGGACTGGCATCACGACGCTTACATCGTTCACCGTGTTACAATTTTGTTTGTTTGTTTTTCCCCATTCATGAGCTGTTGACCAGTCCTAGGACCATTGAGTCAGGCAGCCGCACCTAGCCTCCGGGCTAGAAAACAAGGGCCCGGCTCAAGAACCCCGTGGACCAACAGACCCCTTTTGTTGTTTGTCATTCTGTAACTGAAGAACATCAGTACCTATGCCTCTAAGCGTAAGTTAAATAAATCACCCTTGTTTAAGAAACCACACGCCTCTGTGCAGCTCACACTCCACCGCCGATAATCCCACCTGTTCGTTCCAATTGACACCACCCGGCTGTACCACCGTGACCAATACCATGAGTGTGGCCCACCAGCTCCAGTTTATTGACACATGGGAGATGGGTCAAGTTCCATAGAACAGGAAAAGGGCTAACATAATGCCTCTTTAAAAAGAGAAAGGATCTGGAGAATGATAGACTGGTCTACCTGATAATACCTAGGAAGTTGCCAGATCACATTATAAAGAAGTCAATTTGTAAACTTCTGGAGGAGGAAAGGCTGATCACAAGCAGCTAGCAAGGATTTATTATGAACAAAACATGGCATACCAACTTGATCTCCCTCTTTGATGAAGTGAGTAGTTGGATATATGAAGGATATTCTTGAATTTATGATAAAATCTCGTAAAAGAGTCTGATCTTAACCCCGTCTTTAAGACATCAGGTTTTGTCATGGCAATTAAAGAAAGGCAAAGTTTCTCTTGCCTCCACTACTTCCAGCTGGGTCTTCCTTTTCTGGTGATGAAATGTTTCTGTGTGCATTAAGAAGCACTTTAAAAAGAAAAAAGTGTCTTGGCTATCTCTAGATCTGGATCTGGTGGTCACCATAATCTGTTCAAAAGATTATAATTAGGAATAAGAATACCTTCAAAAAGTTGTGATGAAGATGAACTAATTCACTTTAAAAGATGATTTATTTTAATTATCTTGTGTGTCCTCAGATAGCCTTGACTCTAAGCTACAGATTACAATGTAAAATGAAGGCGATTGGCAAATTTACAATAAAGGAATTGTTCACAAAATAAAAAAAAGTTTAAAATATGGATGTCTCACCTCCAACAGAACTCAAGCTAAGCAATCTATCTTGCTTGGTAAACATAATTTATCCATATCAATATTTATCACTCCATCAATTCCAGTGTTTTCTGTAAAGTTGGCCATAAATTATTTCATATTTTTCAGCTAACCCAACCCTATCTATTAGGTGCTAAAGTCAAGATTTACAAAAAAGGAAAAATCTTGAGTATGAATTTAGGTTCCTAACTCCATATTTGTTCACTGAAATAAACTGGCTGATTTTTTAAAACATCTTGTTGATCCTCATCTGCAAAGTACTGACTTTGGTGGGAGTTTGGGATACTTAGTCTTTTTGGAAATCAGACCACTTTAATTGGGACCCAATGGAAAGTTAGTAACCCAACTTTAGGACTCCCTAAAATTTTAGAATTTTTAAATTTTGACCTTAGTGTCTTCTCCTCAAATTACGTCAGTAATTCTTTGAAATCTGTAAACAGCAGAAGTTCTAACTGTAAATGCTACTAGGAAAGAACTGTGCATTATACATTGATTACAACTGTCCTTCCAGTTATAGGCCACCAATTCCCAAGAGACCGAAACAACTTCTTCCTTCAGTATACCAGTTTTATTCTTCCTTCACTATACCAGTTGCACTCTGATATTAAGTTCACAGATTTAACAAACATAGATTGATTTAGTTCAGGGGTGTTGAACAGGGCTTATGGGCTGAATTCCTTTCAGACCACCAGGCTATTGGCAAGCCAGGGAACCTGAGAGCATGGGTAGGAGGGGACAGGGGGATCTGCTGTGGAATATAGGGCACTGGTGGATATGGCCCTCAGCCAGTGAACAAATGAGGACCGTGCCAACACATCCCCACTTGCCTTGTGCCTCCTAGTACTGTGCCGGCATTGTGGCATGAAGCCACTTTCCCCACCACCACTGCTTGCACTGCCATTGGCCCTTCCACCTCCACAGTTACAGCCATTGACTCCACTGCAGCCGTTGCCTGCAGCATGTATCCATCCTGCAAGGAGCAATTTTGGTAACTGTTGTAAAAAGAATCTACAAATATTGTAAGGTATGTTGAAAGTCAATATTTTTTGAGAGTCCAAAGAGAAGAATCACAGCTCAAACAAACCACAGGTTTAAGAAGAGGTGAAAGAAACATAGTTTTAATGCTTAAGTTATGCGTGGGCACGTCTACACAAGCTGCCCACTGCACAGTTGTTACTGCACAGTCATTTAGTACTTGCATAACTAAGAACTAAATGACTGCACAGTAACCGGTATTACTGCACAGTGGTATCCCGGCACGGTTGCCTAGTGACATGGTGCAGTAGCTCACAGTTCATGCCCAGTGATGCTACTACAGGGTAGTAACAAGCTATTGAGCAGTAAGCATCTCATGTAGACATGGCCTGTGAGTATTATATTTAATAGTATTATAACTGGTCACCCAAACCTTGTAACACCAGTACTACCTTCAGCAGAGAATTCATAGATTTCATAGACATTAGGGCTGAACGGGACCTCGGAAGATCATCGAGTCCAGCCCCCCGCCCAAAGGGCAGGAAGTCAGCAGGGGTCATACTGACATTCCTATAGGGAATTTGCAACACCTAGTGTTTCAGTCAGAAGCTCAATGACCTATTGTTTTCCAAAGACATAGCTCCTGTTGCTAATATTTTACACAGTGTACTGTATAAGAACCTAACTACATTAATTCTCCACTTATTCAAAGTTCTATAATTATGGAATAAAAAACCGAGTAAAATAGTTTTAAAGTATCTTGGTTTCTTCCATAATCTGCCAGCCCTCTGCCAG